CTAGTGACTGACTGGCTCACCAACGAAGGAGTTGATGTATTGCCATGGCCAGCACAATCACCGGACCTGAATCCCATCGAGCATGTGTGGGACATGCTTCAACGAAGAATTACTCCGCATATGGGGAACATTCACACAACGTTTCAATTGAGAGAGCTTTTAATCGCTGAATGGGCAAATGTACCTCAACAAGACATTGACAATCTCATTTTGTCGATGCACGATATATGTAGAGCCGTAATAAACCAGCGTGAAGGCCATACTTTGTACTGATTCCCATTTTTTTTTGTATTATTGCCATTTTTAAAAATATCCCTAGACTTTTCCGATGTGTGTAGTTATTGAAATCGGTGGATGATAACTGAAGTGACTTCAAGCTTATTACTTCGTATTATGTAGTTAAATGTCAATGTATTTCTTTTTTCTTTTCAGAACCTTACGGTGAATCCCTTCGTTTCAAGGTAACAAACATCAAGGTAAGTTACGTTTGAATTTTCATTTGTTCGAAATTTAATTGTTTTTCAAAAACTTAGTATTTTTCTGTTTTTTCCTTCCAAGTTGATCTGTTTTATAGTCGCTGTCAAATGTACTTGGCGCAGATCTAGTAGTCTCCTAGCATTGGGGAGAAGCAATCTCTTGGGAAAAAATTAATCTATTTCATAAGCCTTCATAGGCTTGTTCCATAATTAAAATCTAATGAAATTATTAGGGAGACGCTCAATATATTTACGGTTTAGGGTCAACGAAGCGGCATAACGACGCTTCAGCTAGCTGTATATATAGTCGAGTTTTGAATCTCTTCTAAAATGAGCGGGCGACGTGAATCTGGGAGTGGCTAATGGGGCGCCGGATTTGTTTTTGAAATATTCGCCAAAAACTAGATTTGTTGAATTTCGATTTTTTAATCTACCACCTGAATTTCCAATGATGAAAAAAAGGCAGGGAAACTTACCAATATTGTTTCATATTTTTTATAATCTGATTAACCAATTTGCAATGCGATGTTTCGTTCATTAGATTTCATGATCGACTTTATTTTTAATGCGGACTACTAGTTTTTTTTTCATCGATTTTTGTAGCCACTGTAATAAATTCAGCTGTACTACAATGACATGTGTTTCGCGACGTTTGTCTCCGAGAAAACATCATCAATATTTGGGTAACTCTCAAAAGGTGGAAACCAATACTTCAAAACTCGAAAATACATAAACTTTACACATCTTTTGAAGATTTGCGTAAATTGTTAATGATTATTTTCATTTGGGGTACTATTTACGTGGTGATTTTCACATTTTTCTTTCGCTGAAAATCATGCACCAACATTATTTTTGTTTTAATGCTAAGCACTTGAAAACAAATTTTGTAAGACTTTATGAGCTATCACTCTTCTTGTATTGGGTAGCAGATTGCCAAAAACGACTCTCCTCGATAGGAAGACTTAACAGATTGTGTCTGGAATGTATGCCTGGCCATACTAGCCTGAAAAGCAATGAGGCTGACTCTCTTGCAAAGGAGGGTGCTGCAAGCGACTTCATTGGACCAGAACCTGTCCATTGGCATCGCTTTAGGCTTTGCCAAACAAAGATTTATGGACTTCTGGCAGAATCTCCCAGGCGTTTATTCACCCTTCAAAGTTTGATACTAAACAGTTGTTGGGATGAACTACGATATCTAACAGGTCTTCTTACAGGTCACTGTCATTTGAATCATCATATGCAGAGAATCGGGACTGTCGGAAGACAGTGTGTCGCCTCTGTTTGGAAAATGATGAAACAGCAGAGCACCTACTTGTGTCTGCCTCGCTGGGAACCGAATCAGTACAATTGGTTTGAATCGTACCTCTCAGACCGAAGTCAAATGGTAAGAATATCGGAACTCTCAGAAAGCAGGGCAATCACATCTGGTGTGCCACAGGGTTCTGTGTTGGGTCCAATTCTGTTTTTGTTGTATATTAATGATTTGACTGAGATAGATATATCTGGCAGCTTTACCCTATTCGCGGATGATACAACAATATTGTGTAAGGGAAAAAACCCAGAAGAGCTACATAAAAAGATATCATCTGATTTAGGAAAGGTGAAAAATTGGTATGATGCTAATTTATTATTTTTAACACCGACACGTGTTTTTTACACGCTTTATGTGTATGTATGTATGTATGTATGTTTGCTGGTATGTATGTTTGTATGTAACGCTCAAGCTCTGGATCTGTATTGACAGAATTATCGGCATTATTGCTTGATCTATTCGCGGGCAGATGGCGCTTTACGTAACCTCATTGATATTTCTTGTTCTTTGTGTTTTTTAGTTGTTTTGAACTATATTTATTCGGTAGCGATTTGGTTCATTTCGTAGAGAAAAATTGGCCCAAAGTCGCTTTACGAAATCATATAGTAAAAAGCTGAAAAGAGGCAAAATATTGAAATTTGAAAAATAAAAAACTCCAGTAATATTAATTTCTTTATAGATAACATTCGAGTTTCGAAGTTATTCATTACTTAGTGCAGTTGGCATATTTTTTTAGTTAGTGTATTTTCAAAGTAGAAATATAAATTACTAGCTGTTGCCCGCTCTTATATTAACGTACAGCTGTAGCTACTGAGCCTAGAATCTTGAAATATGCAGGTAGGTTCTTTGTATAGCTTAAATAAGCATCAAGACAAGGAATCAGGAATTTCCACCACTACGAGGGAAAAATAGGAGTTCAAAGACAATTTCGTCAGTTTTGAAGTTGTACCACTTGTATTTGTAACTATCGTTATTGTATTCGTTCGAAAATGTACTTACATGAGGAAACTACAGTAACGTTAGTTACAAATACAAGTGGTATAAAAACAAAGGAAGTTTTATTTCTCGTTCTTCATAATGTTTTCATCAATTCTACTATATGTTTGAATTTTTCTGCTAATCTATCAAATGAATCGCTTAGAGTTTAACTAATGTTGAAATTGAAACTTTGTTGTCAAACAGCCTCGACACTGACGCCAGGTATTTGAAACACGTTTTTGTTGTTGAAAGATTCAAGAATGTTAAGTCGTCCGTGCTACTTTATGCCAATACGAAGCACAATACCTGGTACTTTCCCGTGCAGACGTGCCAAGATTTCAGTTCGATATTTTGGCAGTCCTCTCTGTTTAGCAGATACCTTTGACTTCGAACAAAACTCACATTCAATTCTTTCGGCAATTAACAACTTCTCGTAATATTTTTTTCGTTGCAATCTTGACACGTGATCATATTTGATCGCTGACTTTTCGGCGTGTCATCAGCCACGCCCTCTGAAATACTATTCTAGTGGCGTTCCGTACAATGTATGTATGCGCCAGCGGTATTTATTGCGGATATAAAGACACACTCTAGCGATTATTTGCCGAGGAATGGAGAAGAGGTTAACGAACGATCTTCCGATCTCGCGTCTGATAAGACTTTTCCAGTTTCCAGTCGATCCTCTGCACTCTTCCGAAGAATTGGCCTACGCCGAGATGCCAAGAATGGCGAAGATGGAAGTCGTCGAGGAGTGTCACTGTCGATAGAACTATCGCTGCGTGGTACCTATACAGGGTGTCCCGCGATGTCTTTCGCAGGCAGTATCTGCGTTATTGGAAAAGATAAGAACATATTGTTTTGAAGGTGCATGATTTCAAGGCTGAAAACTACCAAGTTACAGAATTTTTGTCGTAGTTGAACAGAAATTACGTACAGGAGAATTTTCTTCTGGAAACGATAAAATCATTATGCTACACTTATGGCACTATATTACATGTAGTGTCCAACATTACATGTTGTTTAGATGATTTGTGTTGAAAATGTGGAAAAGAAAACTTCAACCAAAAAACGTCTTTGAAAGTAGTTCAAAAATTACAATTGGTGACCCCGAGAAGTGAATAGTTCTTACGCATTTGATAAAACCATGGTCAAGTTACTTCAAAACATTTCGCGAGATCAGTTGGTTAACCTATTTGAATATTTCAATGTTTATTCTGGTGGAACTGTTCGTGACATGAAAATAATACTGGAGGCTGATTTTCTTAAGGAGTATCCCGGATTGACAAATTCTCAAGACTTTGATTTCACGGACCTTCTTTGCAAAATCAGTAATCGGGAAAAATCTAAGGAATCTTAAGCAGAAGGTAGTTTAATTGAAAAGACGAACAAGTTAGAGATTCTTTGTAATAAGCTGATTGAAAGTCTCGAAAGTAATAATAGGGGAATGGAAGGCATAGAAAAACGTATTCAACAAATAAAGTAAACTCAACTTTATTTTGTTGAAACTTGCATTTGCTGTAATAACCCAAATTGAGGAACATTCCCCATTGTCAAAGTTCGGATATCCCTGTTGGAAGGCCCTATATGAATAAGTAAACAGTAGACTAACTGGGATATGACTTTTATCTCTGCTCATACACTTCAGTGCCCTTTTTGGCATTTCTATACTGTTGAAAGAACCTAAACGCATACTCGTACCAATTACTAATTCGCAACAATTCAATATACTTTTTTTTTATAAATTGATGGGTGTAGCCGTTACTACGTGGATGAGAAATCTGTACTAATATAAATGTGCCGACTGCACGGATTTAGATGAAACTTAGAATCATCAGAATGGGCTACAATTTCTAAAGGTTTTGTGTAATTTTGGTCATAATATAACGATAAGTATTAAGTAAGTCGGAAACATTCTTGATCCCTGAGAGCTATCTTGGCGTGCACTGCCTATACCGTTGGTGTTACATACAGATAATGTACCGTAATAATGTTTATCTTAAATAGTTCTAAAAGAAAGTTCGCGATAGCATATCTGCCCCTTATGTGGAAGCTACTGTATGCAAAATACTGAGCCATGAATATAATTGAATTGGATACCTTTTTTCACAATGCACATTTCAGAATGTATGTCAAATTCTTATGAAAATTTTAATTCAGATAAACTTTGTCTTTTACACTAAGAATTTTGGACGAATCGTTTAAAAGTTATCACGAGAAGATTAACTTGACGCAACTCAGTGAATCATCACGCGTTGCGTCTACTGTAAGACAACGGGGGTCGATGCGCGGTGATAGAGGGGCGATTTAAGCAATGAAGCGCCATCGCCAAAAACATGGCAGATGTCGTTGACGGTTATATTAGTTTTGTGAATTTCTTTATACTTATGATGCACTGTTTGGAACCTTTGGTGTAGTAATGAATAATACTGGAGTTTTTTCCCAACACCAAATCGTTATTTTTAACGATTATTCGATTTTCGAAGTTATTCATTACTTAATGCAGTTAGCATATTTTTTTAGTTACCGTAAGTAGAAATATAAATTACTAGCTGTTGCCCGCTCTTATATTAACGTACAGCCGTAGCTACTGAACCTAGAATCTTGAAATATGCAGGTAGGTTCTTTGTATAGCTTAAATAAATATCAAGACAGGGAATCAGGAATTTCCACCACTAAGAGGAAAAAATAGGAGTTCAAAGACAACTTCGTCAGTTTTGAAGTTGTACCACTTGTATTTGTAACTATCTTCATTGTATTCGTTCGAAAACACGTTCGACAACACGTTTTTGTTGTTGAAAGGTTCAAGAATGTTAAGTCGTCCGTGCTACTTTATGCCAATACGAAGCACAATACCTGGTACTTTCCCGTGCAGACGTGCCAAGATATCAGCTCGATATTTTGGCAGTCCTCTCTGTTTAGCAGATACCTTTGACTTCGAACAAAACTCACATTCAATTCTTTCGGCAATTAACAACTTCTCGTAATGAAGACGAGTGACATCATCTCGCACACATGATGATGACTATGAATAAAAGATGCCTCGACGCGAAGGTCGAAAAAGGACCGTGGGAGGAGAGAGCGGGACAAAAAAACAGCGGCTAGGGGAGATTGAACTTGACCCAGAGAGAGAGAGAGAAACGATCGGCCGTGACCCTGTTCGGTTATCATTCGTCTGCCGGTGATAACGACATTGTAATGTGCTGAAATAATTATTCCGTTCATTGTATAATCTGTGGAAAAATTGTTCTGGAAATTGTTATTGGCGGAATAACAATGCTGCTGTAAAATAACTGGAAAATTTGAAGGTGATTGGCAGTGTTTCATGAATTTTATTAGTGAAATATCATGAACTTCCTTAGTTCTGAATTCCATTGTCTGATATTATACAGGGTGTAACTGAATAAGTGTGTTCCCATGAGTAGCAAGATAAGAATTGGTCATCTCTGGCAGAGCCCGCATTACCAGAGGTAGGCTGACTACAGTAGTCCAGTCCAGTAGTCTTGCGACACCGTTCGTAAGACCCGGACAGGGCCTCCAGTCGTCTGGCCGTTCCCCAATCCGCCACTTGGGGACTCGCCCGACAGGTAGCCCAACCCACGGGATCTCCCGCATTCATAGATGAAACGTCAGGCACGAAAACTGGCAGACCACTGCCAACAAAGACGACCATTTCATTAACTAGGGCTATCATACAGGGTGTAACTGAATAAGTGTAAAACATTTCAGGAGGTGATTCCCCATCGAAACAAAGATGGGATCTTTCATATTTCATTGGAGCATCCCTTGTTAAGATTCAGCCCCTTGAAGGTTGTACATAAAATTTGTATAACAATTTTTTTCAGAAGCACTGAAAAAGTTACAATATTGAAATCAACCTGACGTTTTGTACTATCTAAAAGACACTTAGTCAGTAATTTATTTGGTTTACCTCATGGTTCTACGGGGTGGAAAACGCAACCCCTAAAATTCATTTCCGATAGCCTGTCTCTTGAGTTTTTTGCCCAAAATAAACCAGTTCGCAGCAAAAAATTATTTTACGAACAACTACAGAGATACATTGTCAAAAATGCGAACTGGATCTATTGTTATTTTGTAGTTAGTAACTGCATTAAACGATTAACGGGTAATAAACCAAACTAATTTATTAATAACAAAACACACAACATGTAGAAATCATAGTAAATGTTCGATATATCTACCTGCAGACATTACGCATGCATCTAGACGTCGGCGCATTGAGCCACGTATTCGCTCAAATATTCCTGGAGTCCCTCTGATTACCCTGCACGCATCGATGATGCGGTTTCTTAAGTCCTCTACATCGCGAACAGGAGTACGATAAGCCAAACGCTGTAAATGGCCCCAGATAGAGAAATTGAGAGGATTGAGATCCGGGGATCGAGCGGGCCATTTCTGTGGTCCTCCTCGACCTATCCACTGATTTGCATATGTTTCAGTTAAATGCTGACGTGCTACTTGACTAAAATGGGCGGGAGCCCCATCATGCATGAAAAACATATCTCTTCTGACACCCAAAGGAACTTCCTTCAGCAGTACTGGATGCACTTCTCTTAAAAATTGAACGTATGTCTCACCATTAACCAATTCCACATTTGCAACTGTCTTTTGATAGATGGACACAAGTTCAACCACGACTATGAACGTTTAAATGAAATTTTTTTTTGATCAGTTGGAGCTGCAGATTAATTTGAGCAGTGCTGTAGCGGAAATCGTTTCTTCGATTATTCGCACCATTTTTATATAAATTGAGTATAAATTCATGCAAAAGTTAATATTCGACGTAGTACGAATATAAGTTTACATAATTTTCTCCATTCGTCTATAACGATACCTTCTCGAGTATGCACAGATATTCTGGGTTTCACAAGGTATATTGAAAAAATGAAGAGAATTCTCATTTTTCTAAAAAAATATTTATTCGTCAGTTTCTATTTCGTTTTGTTTCAGTACATTTCAAAATGTAATTAAATGAATAGAACTGTGCACAGAGAATATTATTAATTTTGAATCGTCTATTGAAAAGTCTAGGAGTGTTATGTCGGGAGATCGAGATGGCCAACGGCAGGAGATATTTGTTATATAAAGTATATTTTCGACGTTTTTGCGCTCTTCCAGACGCGCCCGAGCGAGAAAAACCAATTATCGAAAATAACCAGCGATGAACATGAGAATAACTACAGTCAACAAGTCTATCGTCTACAGGCATCTACTTTAACTGTCAGTTCAAAAATCTCGATTCAAAGTTGTTAATTTATTGAAAACAATTTCTCTTGCGAAGTTATTCTCTGTTACTGGAAAGCCTGGCAAAACTAAGTCGTAAATGTGTTTTTTTTTTCATAAAACTTTGTAGTCTCATTATCCAAACCAAAACTGAACTTGAAATCAGTACCATTCTTCCACAAGAATAAATAATGAGAGGAGTCCAAGAATTGTTCCTTGGGGTATCACTGCTGATTTCTCCATAGTAATTCCTATTTTTTTAGTAGTTTTCCACCAAGTCTGTAATGTCTCTAGAAAACGTTTTGAAATGCAGAATTGAGGTCTTTGAAAATTTGATTTTAATTTATGATTTATTTAGCTGGATTCTTCATTAAACATGTCTCCCGAGAAGAAAATTCTTGGCAAATGAAATGGAATAGAATTTCATAGTGTTCATTATGAATGACTATTTCATTAAAAACGTTTCTATATTTGGAAGTCAATACTAAAGTACCGTACAAGCTAATTTATTGATCGTTGATGATGTTTTTTCCTGAAACGATTATACTCATTCATGATATTCATTTTTTAAGTCAATACTAAAGTACCGTACAAGCTAATTTATTGATCGTTGATGATGTTTTTTTCCTGAAACGATTATACTCGTTCATGATATTCATTTTTTAAGGTGATATTTTCGCGCAGTGGAAAATATAATGAGGCCGTCGTTTGAGCTGGTTGTTGAAAGTTGTTTAATGTATATTTTTAGGAGATCCGGAATAGCGGTGACAGCGATAATTTTCAGAGAATTCATTCTGATGCACTGTATCGGACTAGATCGGTATTTTGGGAGAGATGTTTTTGTTATAATATCATGTAGATTATGAGAGGAGAACGGAAACTAGTTTCTCAAGTATTTTATTGTTTTTATTCACAACCAAACAAGTTGCTTTGGCATCTATTCATATATTCTTGTTACATAACACAATATAATGTAGTCGTAAAGGCCATCTTCCATGTATTTATTGAGATACTCTGAATCCTAACAGGATATTTTTTACCGTCTAAAATTTCTCAAATCCTACTTCAAGTAAATGCTAAACTTCCTGTCAAAAAAAACGACCTATGCAGTCCAGTCCGTGACTTTTTTCCGTATAATTTTGCCAAACTTGTTAAGTCGTTCGCGTAAAATCGCCCGGAAAATTGACACATTTATTCACGAATAAGTTGAAAAGTGTCGATTTTTTCAGAAAAAAACTTTATACAGTGTGACCCATTTTTAATGGAAACACCCCCCTAAAATTTGAAGTTGTGAATCGATTTTAATATTTTTTTTTTTTAATGTCAAGTACTAAAAGGTCTACTTTGGGACAAAATTTGAAATGTTTATTAAAGTTTCAGGGCATACTACGATATTTTTTCTTAGACGAAAATCGGGATTTTTTATTAGCGATTTTTTATTGAAAAAATCACTACGCCACTGGATTCAGAGTGCCTCTAAATAGGTGTGACCAAACTCAAAAATATCGTAGTATGCCCTGAAACTTTAATAAACATTTCAAATTTTGTCCCAAAAGGTAGACATTTTAGTATTTGACATTTAAAAAAAAATTTATTGATGACTAAGAAAAAATATCGTAGTATGCCCTGAAACTTTAATAAACATTTCAAATTTTGTCCCAAGGTAGACCTTTTAGTACTTGACATTGAAAAAAAAATTAATTAAAATCGGTTTGCAACTTCAAATTTTGGGGGAGTGTTTCCATTAAAAATGGGTCACACTGTATAATAAAGTTGCTTAGAAGTTTCCAGTCCACTAAATGGGGTTCGAGGCTAACACACAGATGACGCTACTAGTATTGAATATATATGATTATTAATCAACCCTAACCTTCAAAAGACACGTGTACAAATTTCACAGCTGTTGGACTATTAGTTTGTGGGATAAAATATTTTGAGTGAAGACACTTTTGCTAGTTTGAAGGAAATGAATGAATGCTACTAGTTGATAGTTGAGATATTTGAGGCTCTAAAGATATCAAAAAAACGTGTTGGACATATCGTGCATGAATATTTGGGTATGCGAAACCTCTGTTCAGAGTTGGTGGCGTACGAGCTCTAAATCGACCAAAAACAGCAACGAATTGATTTGTCTGAGCAGTCTAAAAGTTCATTTCTAAACTGATTTCCAATCATTCTAATTGGTGAAACTAAGAAAAATATTTTTCCTTAACCATTTTTTTCCTCATGATGATTTCTGTTTTTGTTTCAGGGTGCAATGTTTCAAAATGGGCTGAACCCATTAATCCGACTAAAGAGGACGCCACTACAACATTGATAAAAGGTATTCGATTTTCTATTTTCTTAAACGTTTCGCGACCTGATTTTTCTGCTGTCTATCACAATTACTACCCACCTATTATCTGTTTTTTGATTATCGGCATTTCGCAGATCGTTTCCTTCCGATTTTGAGTTTGAATAACTTTTGACGCTGTACTAAAACGATTTCCGGCGGTATATTTCGAAACAAGTCGTAGGATGCCGTGATGAGCGAAAATCTAATTCCATCTCTCGAAATTTTTGACTCGAAAAATAAACAACAATTTGTTTGACAGCTCGTTTAATAGATCTGTCGTTCGTAATCGTCACTCGCGCGCGATTTTGTCCAAAGTTTCAGCTTCCGGAGTCGGTGCCAACGGAAAACTACTCTTCGGGGAAGCCGTAGTTCCCTGAACGAGTCTGTTTTACAGAGAGGAGTGTCTCCTTTAGGAAGAAAATTACCAGGAAAATATCTAGCGTTGACGTTTCTCTCTAGGATCTTTTTTTTGTTCCAGCATCGTGGTCTGGAAATGGACAAAGAAAATGGGAAGGGCAACGAAGGTAACTCTAGCTCCAGCAAAATCTCTAATAATCAAGACCCCGCCTCTTTACTCGATGCCGCCAGTCTCTTTGGGGGTAAGTTTCCCAGTTTTGTACCTTATGATCATAAGGTTTGCTTTGTGGTAAGATATCTACAAATAAGTGATGTGTAAAACGCTCTTGAGCGGCGATATTCTAATTCTGGAATCAAAAATGAAATTTTACAGTAGAGAAAGAAAATTCGAAAGAATGAATGAGGGTAAATTAAAATTTTTGAGGAATGGTTCAACGATCAGGGATAGTTAATGGCTTACTGGATAGAAGGCTTACTTGTTCAGAACGTATAACAACTGAACGAATGGGATGTGATTATGTCTGGTTTACGGGGTGTTTTTTCCTCTTCAACCAACTAGAGTTACAGAACCTTATTCGTGTTCTCAGACTCATCTTAGACTATCCTTTCATAAAGGTTTTTCGGACTGTATTCCCGAGTGAATTTTCTCCATAGTCTCTGTATCTTATTAGCCCTCCCCAGCTTTATTATTTTCTATGATTCGAATTTACTATCTTTCAATATATCAAAGACTAATATAATGTCCTTTAAATGTAACCTGGACCATATAATTCTTGAAGAACACATCATTGATCATAAACTAGAGAACAAATTTTTAGGCCTCAACATAGAAAACAAATTAAAGTTTGTTATGCGATAAAGTCTATCTCTAACTCTTTGGACTATCACTCTGCTAGAAAAGCATACTTTGCACTTTTAGAATCCCACTTGCTTTACAGAATTTGTTTCTGGGGGAGCAGCTGTCAAAACTTATTGAGTCAAGTTTTCACAATACAAAAAAGAGCAGTGAGATTCATTACCGGAGCTAGAGAGCAAGATTCCTGTAAGCCTCTTTTTTAGCACATCACATCTTAACAGTCTACTGTCTCTTTATTTTAGAAACAGTCTGCCTAATGCACAAAAAACACAAAGATAACATCTCGAACTCGACTCAGAATGATGCCACTCGTCTCACATTCGATATTCCTCTCCCTATCCCGTCAACAGCACAAATTAAAAATTCGATTCTTTATAATAGCAAAAAATACTTCAATCATCTTCCCCTTTCAATCAGAAAGTTAACATGCTACAAACAGTTTCGAAAAAGAGTAAAAAAACTTCTGCTAGATAAAGCTTATTATACTATTGAGGCATTTCTTTCGCAACTTATAATTCCAACTCATAAAATTGTTCATCACAGACTTATATCCATAGACTTTTTGAAGTGTGCTTGAGCCATATTAATATCTTGTTCTAAATTCTTGACCTTTATGTTGATGTTTCAGATTGTTTTAGTTCTTAAGCCTGCTTTGTCAACAAAACCCAAACTTTTATGACAATAAAGCATTTCTGTTTCTGACTCTGAATATCTCATCACTTAGTATAGAGTTAATATATCTTGGTCTGCCAGTTTCTTCAGTTTTTCATGAATTTTCTAGAGCAGTTCCCATGTCACTTTCTTCTTCATCGATGTCCCTTTTTTCTTCCTCTTTTGTATATTACCTTATTCTACCCATTTCCATTTTTTGCTAGAAATTTGCTTCTTTTTTTTATCAAAACTTCATTGATTCATTTGAGTTTAAACAGTGACTTAAAGTGACTAGACGTTGTTGAGAATTTCCGGAATTCTGGCAATAGCGGTTTATTGTATCATACCTATACTCTACGGAATAAATCCATCTTCTTAACGAAGCCGCTCACTTCATTTGGTGATCTTTTTGTTCAGCAGGCAAGAGTGAGACTCTACCAAACGCTAAAAACCTCCTAGTGAAAAATAATCTTCTCCAGGTTGATAGACCATGTTTCACTTTCCTCAATCTGAAGAGGACCTGATCGAAGGTCAGTCTGCGACTACTTTCATCAGGTAGGGGAGCAGTGATGAATTTCAGGGATACGCCACTCCATGGCTGCAGGATACTACGTTCAACCAATCAGGAGACGCTCTCTTTATCCTCTCAGATAGCCTGTAACCATCCAGAAATGTCCAGCTGTGGAATCATACCTCATTGAGGCTGTCGTATGTTCAGGTTGCCCGCCGAAATCTGTCCATTTGAGGCCATCTGTACGTCAGCTATTCCTGAAGATACAGTAGATTCAGGCATACAAGACTATCTCGCATCTGGTTTGGGTGAATCGTCGTTTGAGCATAAATGTTTGCAGGACCTGGTCAGGGGGAGATTGTTCGCTCTCCTGCTTCTGAGTAGTCGCTTCCTGGCCTTATAGGTTTGTTGGAGAACTGAGAAGGTCCTGCTCCTGATTCGATGTCATAGTGAAGAAAATTGGTCAACCTCCCTCAGATCTCAAACACTGGAGAACTGAGAAACTCTTTCTCTTGATCCTTTATTATAGGGAGGGCAATTGGGGTCTTTTAGTCTACGTCCATCTTCTCTGTAGACTCGGGTATGGATTTTTTGTTACTCCATGGGCTAGAGAGTAGCAAGAGAAAAAGGGTCCACCACGGCAGAGCCCTGCATTATCGTGACAAGGTTATATCTCGATGTCCTAGCAACGGCTCACTTGGTTAGTTGTAGATCATTTCGTAACAGATATATGGTTCATCAATACAATGGTTTCAATACAAGAATCAACCTCCTGGACCTGTGGCAATCTTTCTGAAGTTTTATGTAAGGTTGTCATGTGGAAATGAGTCTCGGTTTGAGAAAATGAGGAAATTATCTGGTGAGACTTTGAAATATAACCTTTATCTTCGTAGTCAACGTATATACCAGTGATGATGTCTGCCGCAATGCAGAGGAAACGTTTTGGTGCCACAAGTTCAATTTTATCACGACCTATCAGCCCGAAATTGGCCGGCGTGGTATCCATACAAGGCCTGATCATTATTTTTATGTGGGAGGTTTTATATGGTATTAACTAGTAAATTCATCAGGCCCGGCTACATTAGTCTTTTATTCTGTTCGAATTGACTTCATACAGACTATACCGAGGGCAAGCTATCCACCAAACAAGATTTTTCTCTGAATAAAGTGACTGTTTTGTCGTCGTTTTTCCCTTGTAGAAGAAAAGCATGCTATATAAAAGTTTTATGGCGCCAGGTATTGATGACACGTGTATATTTTTGCAAGCTCCTGATAATCTTTCTCGAAAAATCATGGTTTATTTTCATCTACTTTTTATTTTAAACGTATTTTTCTTCAATTCATTGATATTTTTCATTCAATTTCCTCAGCGTTGTTTAACCATTTTCTCAAAGTATTGTTATTTTTTTTCTCAACACTGTTTTTTAATCATAATGATATTTTTTGTTCATTCATAGCGTATTGTTATTTTTTATCCAACTTTTTTTTTCAGCTTATTGGCCTCGAGGAGGAACCGAAGCAGCGGCCGCCGCCAACCTGTTTGCCGCCGCCGGCGGATTCGGGATGCCGTCTCATCCGTCCATGCCTTTCGGCATGCTGCCACCGACGTCGGGCGGCGGCAGGGGCGGCGGAGCAGCCGCGATTCCGCCCTCGTATCCTGCATCTACTAGCGCCGCCGCCGCTGCCTACAACAACGCCTACACCAACACTCTCTCGGTGGCGGCCAGTCAGGCGGCTAGTCTCGGCATTCCGGCTGCAAGTGAGTATGATTACAAACTTCTTTTGGTCTGAATTGGATGCTTATGATGCACTGTTTGGAACCTTTGGCGAAGTAATGAATATTACTGGAGTTTTTTCCCAACACCAAATCGTTATTTTTAACACCTCGACACGAGTTTCGATCACCGAGTGATCATCTTCAAAGAGGAAGATTAAATCTCACCACAAAGAGGATCACCAAGTGATCCTCTTTGGTGGTGTTGGGAAAAAACTCCAGTGATATGAATTGGATGATCTGGACACCAACGACATGTGGTTTCAACAGGACGTCACTACGTTCCACACGGCTCATGCCACATTGGATGGCTGACAATCTTGACCTATGATTTCATAAGCATTCTGATTGTATATTTCATAATTCAGGCTATCTGTATCGGTGTAGGGAAATACACAATTATCTCCGAATCGATGGCGCATGTAGCCATAATGAAAATCGTATATGGTAGTCTTTGCCAAGCCTAAGATAGTCTGTGCTACTTGTATCGGTTTATTTAGATAAACTTGCAGTATCCTCAGTTCGAATGCCACCAAATTCTCATTGAAGATCATACAAGATCATTTGGATAGGAGTTTAATGTTGACTCTTTTTCTAATGTCTTCGATCGTTTTCCCGAATATTGCATTGTTCATCAGCTCGAAGAGGTTTTTTTCAAACTCATTCGTAGCCCTTTTCTGCAACTTAGTATTCAAATCAATATAGGACTTCAACCATGATGATTGGTTGAATTGTACTCGATTAATTTTCGTGATGACCATTAGCAATGTCCTGTTTGAGGGCGCGGTAATGAATCACATAATGGTTTAGACTTTCACGGCTGAGGTTTTCAGTGTCATTGCTTTTCGAGTTTGAAAGCGGTGGATTTTTGGAATTTCTTCCCGACGTTTCGCTGGCGCGAATTTCTAGCTTCTTCAGCAGAGGTTTAACCGCCATGCTGGTTAAACATCTGAAGAAGCTAGCCACTCGCGCCAGCGAAATGTCAGGAAGAAATTCCAAAAATCTACGGCTTTCAAACTCGAAAAGCAATGACACTGATGAATCACTAGTTTGCTTTGTGTTGGAGGGTAGCCATCAATTTGGTGGCGATTGGAGGCATGGTCAGATCATGCGATTTGGTTTCATTAGATTTTTCTTGTGTTTTTTTTTGAGTCGCAGATGTATTCGAATGAGCCACAAACCACAGCGGTTTTCAAAGCCAACATAACTCATGACATCGGTCAAATTCAGCCTGATTTATGCGGCAGAGTCGAAGAAAATTGGACGTTATGGATGCGCTGGACTCGGAGAAGCCGTAGCGGACATTTGATAGGTCTTGCAAACGAATGAAACATTTTTACATGTAATTTGTTTTATTCAAATTTAAAGATAGGAGGCTCACAATAAAAGACAAGACCTATAGTGCAAAATTGGAATTCGTCATTCATAATGATGACCGATTGTTCTTCAGCAATGGAATGTTATCTATGGTTCTGGAGAAACAAATACTGCAAAACTAGGATATTGTGTTTTTTTTTGTTATTGAACACCCTCGCCAACCTGTCGAATCAACAGGTCCCTCACCGATTCCTCCTTATCGGCATCGTCGTCAGACGGTCGTTTTCTGGTGATTTTGTATCTGGGAGTGGAAACGCTTCGCAACGGCTCTCCATATTATTTAGAACGAGCGAGAGGCTCGGGTTCATCTGGGTGAAGTGTATACAGCAATGTAATTCATTTATTGATCTACTTTTCTCCCTCCCGAACTCGATTTCGGGCACAGTATAGCGTGCACGGCTCCAAAGAGACACCGTCTAGTTGCGGGAAATCGCCGACGAGAAATTTCGGGGTTTTTCCTCTATCGCGCGACATGTGATCGGTATCGGATACGACGTCTTCTTCTTCTTCTCTTGAACGCGACGATATGGTGGGTTTTGCGATTTTTTCTTGGTTCTTCTGTAATGTGACGTTGTGTGTAGGAGGTAACCTTACTTTTCGCGCTGACTCCAGGTATTTTTAGATGGCGGAGCCTGGTCGGACGAAATTGTCGGTTTGCGCATGCGTCTACCCACGTGTCCCGATTCGAACGATTGTTTTTTCGCGTAATTTTCGTGCCGCGAGCGAATTGTTTTTAATTTTTGCGAAAACTTGTTGCTGTTGATATATTTGTGGGAGCAATTGGCTCGAATTTTCCTGGAAAACAAACAGAGCGGGGGTTTCGAGTGATTGATGGGTTTGTTTTAGGTAACGACAAAAATTGTTGAAAATTCATCTCTTCGTATTAGAGCGATAAGAGCGATCTGTGGTGAGAAGACGGTGTTTGTCTTCAGAGTGTTCTTGTCCTTAACAATCTCACAAATATAAAAAGTCATTAGAAAATACGTACAAGTGTAGTAAGGACTGATTACTGAATTAATTCTAAGCCGCTTCTTATCTGACTTTGTCTTTTTCATTCTGGGAAATAGATCTTCAATTTTTGTTGGAAATTTTGCCGTCTATCTTTGAAAATAATTCTCAGTTCCGACATTAGTAGTTTTCCTTGCCTTTATTTCAGTATTTTATCGCATCACTCATAGCCTTACCTAACTAATAATAATAGTCTTTATCAATTCCAAAAAACAAGTATGAATATTCATGACAAAGACAAAAAATGTTTCTAGTTCGGGCTTCCACTGTCCAATATGATTCGGAATCCGTGAAAGAACGAATAAAATTAGAATGAATAGCTAAAATATCAATTTTATTAAGCGATAAAACCTAAAATGGAAATATACTAAAACTAATAAAATGATCGAGATGAATGATGGAAATGACTACAGAGTAAAAAAAGAAAAGAAAAATTGGCGAGAATTTGAAAGATTTCAAATGTAGTTACGTCGCGACGTTTCGATTGTTAGTATCTACAATAGTCTTCGGGTGATGACTGGACTATTCCCCCGGGAGATGACTGTTTATAGGTCATTCCAGCGCTTTCACCTATCTTCCCTTTCATTTTCCCACTCCACCGGTTTAGTAGGAGTTAACCATTTTTCCCGCTTGACTACAGGTTTCCGCATGTTATGTATCTCTACGCTAGCTTGGCTGAATGCGTCGTTGGACAACATATATGCAGCTTCTTTGAACTTCCTCCTGAACCAGCGTTCCTCCCTGTGGATTATCTCAGCTTGGGATCACTTTACTTTATGTTCTTGAGTCCAAACATACTCTGATATTGCCCACTTACTGGTTTCTCCTCGCTGTGTGTTTCTCTCGTGCTTGGCAACGCGGACTTTCAATGGCCTCTTAGTTTCACCGATTTGCCGTACTCACAGGGTATCCGGTGAATGCGATTCTTTGAATCGCAGTCTGCGTTTGGTCGCCTGGTTTTCGTGAGGCTGCTACGGATGGTTTTTCCGGATCTGAACCAGGTTCTGATGTACTTGTACCCAATTCATCTTGTCCTTTCCGACAGTCTTCCACGTAGGGAAGGGCGAGCAATGGTTGTGGCGGCTTCTCTTCCTTGCGAGTCTTTTTGTTTTCTTCTGGCTGAAGTCTGTTCCACCATCACTCTAGAGTAACCATTCCGTTGAAGATCTTTTCTGATGATGCCCAGTTCCTTCTCGAGACCTTCCTTCGTATAACAGAGCCCGAAAGCACGGTCTACTAGAGTCTTGATGATTCCTCTTTTGGTAGATTGATGGTGGATTTGTGATCAGATACTGTCCCGGTCAATGGTTTCTCGATTTTTCACTTAGTGTCGGTCCTCTTCACCAATACTTCTAAGAATGGCAATTCGTTGTGGACTTCCCTCTTCATTGTGAAGGTAATGGAAGATCCTACGCTGTTGATGTGCTTCAGAAAGTTATCCTCATGGTTCCATACTACTGTTTTACTCTTTTATAAAGATATGAAGCGCTTAATGAAAGACCTTATACTATAACATTATTTTCCATTTAGATGTTGAAGAAAACTTGCGTATATTACTAGTAACACAGAGTTAACCTCAATCGCGTTTCAGGTGCGGCATGGTGGTCGATGGCTTCTCATCTCGCCGCGCAAGACTACATCGCCCGCTTGCAGGCGTCCGGCCTAAACTTCCCGGCTCTGGGAAACCCCTCCGACTTGCAATACTCCGCTCTCGGTCTACCGCCTCTCGGCGGCCATCATAAGTCTTCGAAAGGCTCCTCCAAAGGCGGATCTTCAGCCGCGTCTATGTCCAGGTAAGAAGTAACCACCTTAAAACGGTTTTTTCTCATCGCTTGACTGTTACAGATCGCAAAACCACTCGAAATCGGCATCATCTTCGCACCACCTGCAGAGCATGCAGGCCGCCGCCTCCAAGCTGGATCATTCGATGAAAACTTCTTCTGCGTCACGATCTTCGTCGCAGATCAACCCCAGTAAATATTCTTCCTCCGTGCCCGGGCTGACTATCCAGCCAGCTGTGAAGATGCAGCAGGACAAGCAACACCACCACCACCACCACCACCAGCAGCAACAACAGCGGAAAACTTCTTCGTCTGGCGGCAACGACTCCAACTACAAGAGCGGTTCCAAAGGGAGCGGTTCCTCCGCCCAGTCAGTTTCTACGGCGGTTTCGAGTCCCGGGATTAAGGAATCTCAAGCTCCGAGTATTTTCACCAGCCCTTTGAGTTTGGTCAGTAGCGCGTCTTCGGAAAAGGGGGACGCAGGAGGAGGAGGGAGTCAGGGTTTGGCAGGCATGCCTGCCAGTATTTTGAGGTGAGTGAGAACAAACTTCGTTTCTACTCTGGTATTCGAATGAATATTTTCAACTTGGGGTACACTTTCACTGTGTCGAAGTTATTTTCTGGGTTTGTTGATCATTGTCTGCAGGTTTTAATGGCAGGCGTTTCGTCTACGACTGCCGCAGACACCAAAGGTAATGAGAATACTGCAACTCTTGCTTCATCGCCTTCGATATCTCCCGCATATCTTCCTAGGAGACATCTCCTTTATATTGGCAGGTGTAGGCCAAGAGTCGCCGAACACACACTCTCTTTGTCAACCTTGCGGTGTCTTACGGTGGCTCCCCCGAAGGTTTTGGAAGGTGCAGTGATATTACTACGCTCCAGGGCTACCTGGAGCTGAAGGCTGGGTAATTGTTGGAAAGGTCGTTTTATCAAACGCTCCCTCGATATCTATAAATATACCCAGGGTGGATTCTTTGTTGTCCATTGATCTCTTGATTCTGCCAACCACATGGTGAAGGGCCGAATCAGTAGACCTTCCCGGAGTATATGCATGCTGATTTGGATGAAGTAGGTTGTGAGCAAGTACTTCATCTCTTAAGTACCGCTCAAATAGCCTCTCTATGGTTTTTAAGGAAAACGATGTGAGACTAATCGGTCGGAATGCTTTTGGTAGGGTGTAGTTCATCCTACCTGGATGAACTACATCCAGTAGTTCATCCTACCTGGATGAACTACTGGATGAACTACTCTTACTTCTCTCCACTTACTGGGAATATACCTCAGAGCTAGAGAGGCTCTGAATGTTCCAACCAGGTGCGGCATATGAGTGTCCAGTCCCCACTGAAGTAGGGCTGGTCTTATACCGTCAGGTCCTGGTAACTTGAAGGGGGAAAAGTCCGATATAGTCCATCTTATTTTGTCCTCATCAATTACTGTACTAGCATATTGCCAGTCGTATTGTGAGGGTGTTGTTGGTACATTCGTCCAGTTCATCGTTCCAGGAAAGACAGAACCTGGGAAGTGAGTTTCCATAAGAATCTCAGCACTCTCCTGGAGGTTGGCGGCTTTGTCGCAATTTTTCCTCGTCAGGATGCCGATACTCTTATGGTGGTCATTTGAGAGTGCCTTCTGTAGCCTAGAAGCTAGTGGGAAGTCTTCGACTGCCTCACAATAGGCTCTCCAGGCTTCTTTTTGCTTTCGTCTGCAGACTTTTTTGAACTCTCTGAGGTTGGCTTGATATATATCAAGACATTACATATCACCCTGCGGCCATTCAGCTGTCGGCACAATTCCTTACAGCTGGATAGGCATGTTTTGCAAAAGCTATTGGGGAGTTTTAGTTCCCCTCACCTTACCTATTTCTGCCACTGACCAGGAGTTCGGCGACCCCGTCCGTAAGACCACATTGGCTTTCCGGACAGGACCTCCAGTCCTCTGGCCGTTCCCCAATCCGCCACTTGGGGACGCGCCCGATAGGTAGCCCAACCCACGGAGTCTCCCGCATTTATAGATGAAACGTCAAGCACGAAAACTGGCAGACCACTACCAACAAATCCAGAAAATAGCTTTGATATAATTCTCAAATGGAGGCGACGATTTCATCAACTAGTGCTTTTATTATATGTTCAACAAATATATTTTGTTAAAAAAAAGCTAACTCGATTTTGGGAGAATATCTACTATAACAAGTTTTATAACGTGGAAATTGAAGAATCAACACCAAAGTCAACATGAAGGACCATACTTGTTTCTAAACGCCAACGTATGAATATGATTATTATTATTTTCTTATTAAAATTTCATATTTCCGAAATATCTTTAGATTAACGCGTTTAGAAATGTTGCAGTTTCTCAGAAAAAGACCGACCACACAGCGATAATTATCTGCTTCAAATCATTCGTTGGGGAGTGGCATCAATTTTTATCTTTAGTAATTGCAACAACCAGATATTTTTGAGAGTTTGACGTTCACTCGAATTTCAACTTTAGATCCCGATTAATACTAGATTTTTTTTCCTATTCGATATTCGAGAAAATCAGAAGTAATTGATGACAACTAGTGAACACCAGATTTTAGAATATGTTCGAAATTTTCACTGAATTTCACCGATTTTTTTTTCTCAAAACGAATACCACTCCCCATCGACGAGTTCCATCATACTCGATTATGTCTCATGTTTTTCCTCTTATTTCCTCTTGTTTATACAGTATTCGTCGTGAATATTATCTTATCTGAGATGGAAAGTGTACTAATTTTCGCCGATCGTTAACCATCGGTGTGCATACATTTCGATGATTTTAGTATAACTTGATAGACGAAATTTCGTGCGTTGCACCTTTTAAACGGATTTTGTTTTTCCCCGTATAGCGCCGCCCTGGAAGGCAGCAGGTAAGACTAGTAGAGTTGCAACCCATTTTTGGTTATTTTCCGTCTTCATAGTTGTTGTTTTGTGGAGTAAGTTTATTTTATCGTATATAGGTGATTTTTAGCGCCGAAATTCCATTTTTTTACTGTTCTGAATGTCTAAAAAAATTCGGTCAATAGATTTATCAAAATACGGGGGCGAGTCGCAAAGTGTGCATTTTTTGTTGTTGAATATACATTATAATATACAATAATAATGGCGTAATGCAAGGAATTACATTACGTATACAATGTATATGTAATAATTAATGTATGAATTCTCACATTCAATAATTTAATACGCGGACTGTTGAAAAAAATGTTGGTACACATATTTAGTTTGTTGGTGAGAGCCGTAAAAGTTAGAAGTGTTTCCTGTTCGGAGATTTTCAGCTATCAACAAATGGATCAGAGAATTTACATCAAATTTTGTGTAAAAGAAATACTGGAAATGTTGACAGTAGCATACGGTGATTGTACCCTGAGTCAGAAGGTCGAGAAGATGCGAATCACGACGCTTGCCCTGGTCGCTTCAACACATCAGCAACCGATGAAAATGTTGAGAAAGTGAAGAAATTTGTTACGGAGAATCGTAGAATCACTATTGAGAAGTTGCTGAAGATGTCGACATATCGGTTGGCTCATGCCATTCAAGTTTTGTGGAGTTTTTGGACATGAAGCGTGTGGCAGCAAAGTTCGTTCCAAAATTGCTGAATTTAGACCAACAAAACCGTCACATGAGCATGACTTAAATTGGTGAATGACGGCAATGGCGACCCAGATAGAAGCACCGCGATAGCACGTGGCATCCGCTTACCTTCTTTGTGGAGGGACTTTATCGGCACGTCCGTCTACTACCACGGCCACAACGAAACTTCATCTCTGTTATTCGAAAAGACAAAATGATGAAAAATAAAAGTTAATCAGATCAAAAGGTCTGTTACAAAACAGAGATAAAGCCACCGTAATCGGAAAAGCAACTACAACTATGAATAATGAACGAGATTCTATGCTTTATGTAGTTTACAGTGTTTATTTATAAAAATGTTGCAAGATAAAAAAGCCAATTGCTATTTTTCCAATTTAGGGATTATTAAAGAAATATGGCAATACCTCGTTTCTGACGCTTAAGTCAACCACCTTTATTTTGTAGAACATTCCACATGGTTGTAAAGGAGAGGAACCGTTCCACCTGCTTTAAAAATAGAAGTTGACACTGGGAAGAGAGGTTGTGTGAAGAATTTACTACAGAAAGATTCCTTTCATTTTCACTGCTTTGAGTGTAATGTTTATAAATAATATTTCGTGACCCCTTTTTCATAATGACGGAGTAGACATTATGCGTATAACTGTTACTATCCCTAAATTGGGGAAATAGACATTTGTTTTATATCTTTCAACATTAACATAATAAATCTCATATTGCACAATTCATTTATTACTCTTGAAAATGAAAAGCCATTTGAATGGAGGCGATTAGCAACTTTATCTCTATGTTATGTAATAGATCTTATGATAGTTCATATTTCCCGTGAAAAACATTGTTGAATAGCCTATAAAGGTTTTGAGGGGTGCCTTGCTTACATGAAATTTTCAAATGAGGGATTTCAATTGGAATTCTACTGTACTTTATCGATAAATTCAGCATGGATTTCCAAGATATTTCTAGCTAGATGAAAGGTACGACGGATTGTCAAAGTGAGGCACCCCTCAATATTATTGACTGTTTTCTTTCTGGTCTTGTCATATTGCTCCTCAAATATCTAGCTCCGTAGTCTCTTCCTCTATTAGTAGCAGTACTTTTGCGTAGAGTATGTTTGTGAACGTTTTTTTTTCTAAGTGTGTAAACTAGTTGCATGTTGTTTTTGCAGTGATCCTAATTCAATTTTGGGTGGTGTTAGGTTACCGCCCGATACTGAAATCATCAAGTACACCTCTTCGATCGTCGGACCGAAGATACCCGGTACCACGAACAGGGGAAGGAAGAAGACCATCTCACTCGATCCACCCTCAGTCAGCTTGCATCCGTCTCACTCCAGCACAGGCCTACTCATCGAGCGGGCGATCAAGAGATCCAAGTTGGCCGTGAGTTTTTTCAGAGTCCTTATGCGCGACGAATTGCTAGAGAGTTGAACAGTTATCTTTCATAAGGTTTTTTTTTCTAAGTAGTCACTTGTACTCATTCATGTAATTAGGTTCTAATACCTTTGTTGAATTTTTACAATAAACACCTTAATAATTCAGTATAAGGAGGAACTCTTCCAATTAAATACCTGTTCTTGCAACCGCCCTTTTTTCTTTATCAGGAACAAGAACTGTCTCCTCCATCGACGCCGTCGAATGACAGGGTGGAGGTGATCAAGTTGCCCGCTACGAATGGAAGCCCTTCTGGAATTTCGTCCAGTTACAACAGTTCAGAATCGGCTGGCGAAGCCCCTCTGAATTTGTCTCTGAAGCCCAGCACGACTTCGAACACGGCCAGTTCGTCTCTGACATCGCTCAGCAACATGTCTGCCAATATCGGCGCGGAACGCATCTGTAAGTAGTGGAATGATTATGAATGAAATGGTGACACAATTATGTTTCAAATGTGGATTGCTAGAAATTACACTGTATGGTGTTTCCCGTGAATGAGGTCTTTTTTAGTTTGGTCTCATATGGAAGTTTGGGAAAAGGCAATGACATATCTCCTACTAATACGCCACCTACGGAATCAATAAAGAATCTTTGTTAGAAGAGTTATTTGTCAATCCCATAGATGGCGTCTTCGTGAGGGGAAGTATCATCACTTTTGCTACTGGGGGGTGTTCTTGTTGAAGACAAAAGAGTTCAAAAGTTGGATGTATGATCAGTACCATTGATGAGATCTATGGCTGATCAGAACAGTACTTCTGGTATACATTCATCTATGTTTAGTGTACGAGGTGTGGCTAAGAAATAACTGAATTGGTTTTCTGTGAGACAAACGGTGCGAGTCTCAAGCTCAAAAGCTATATGGCCAAGTCGCCTATTCCCCTCCACATTCCAGCCAGTTGTACCAGTGGCATAGTGCATCTGCCACTAATCGGAAAAATGGTTGGCGTTTTAGTTAAGTTACTTGTCAACGGATAATTTTTAGTAAAAGTCGGTAAATCCGCAATAGAAACATGAAATTATCGCCCAATTTTTCCAGCTCGTCGAAAACCCGGTCCCAAACCGAGACGCGTCGTGCCGCCCGGCTCCGCCCAACTACCGCCTAGCGCTCCGAGCGCCTCTCTCGTTCAACTGTTCGCACAGGCGGATTCCCCGAGGCCGCCGAGCCGAAACGAGGGCTCGGACGGCGGCAGTTCGACATCCTCTACTTGCGCCAGCTCATCTGCAGCAGTTTCGGCGGGCGGCGGGACGACGATATCGCCCATCTCGGGGGGCGGCCAGAAGGAGGGCAGACCGAGGAATTTGGGGCGAGGTGTCAGCAAGCCGAAGAAGAACACGGTGGCATCGTTGCTGGCCCAGAGCAGGGCTCTAGGTGAGTGGATTGTCTATAATATTTGATGATTTAAATTATTATCATTAATGTTGTAGAAATGTAGCAATTGCGCGAACTACTCGTATTTAAATTCCATGATGTTTGAAGTGAAAATCATTTCGTGTCTATCATCAACTAGTTTCAACTGAGCTTAGTTTTTGGCGCAGAACTATTGATGCTTATCTACTGTTTTTACCCAAATGTACTTTCTACTGGAGTGCCCATTAAAAATATATCCCAGCTCTACAGATCTGATGTTTGTTTCGGTTTCCATTAGATCAATTGAAGAAGCTATAAATATAAAAGTTTATCGGATCTTTGAAAAACGCATTTTCTCTCAGGTATCAAACCAGTTCCGATTTTGGATCCGAACGCGTCGATGAACCAACAAATGAACATGCTGAAATCGAACATCCTGGCCGCTCAGCAGTACCTCTCCGAAGCCGGAGGGGTCAGTGACGAGAAAGCTCTAAATAAATATTTACAGGAAAAATTCAAGGGTACACTTAGCGATTCTAGTACGGTAGACGCTACTTCGGATTCTGATAACTTTACTGATTCTAATCATACTGATTCAGAGATGGAGATGGAGGTGGCCGCCAAGAAACAAAAGCAGTACGACGAGAGGCTGTTAAGGGTGCCCCTGGAGAAAGGTGAGCAAGCACGGGAATTTGTGTTTCTCGACATTATATTTTGTTTCTTTGTTTCCAGGTTGGAAAAGAGAGACAATAATTCGTGGTTTGACGAAAAACGGCGGTTTGAAAGGCGATGTGACTTACGTGGCTCCGGACTCTGCTAACAAATTCAAACAAATGTCCGACGTCACTCAGGTACGTTGTTAAATTATTTAAAACTATTCAAAGGTAATTTATAATGTGTTGCAGTACTTGGAGTATCAGAAAAATACGGAACTGTCGAGGGATAATTTCACGTTTAGCTGCAGGATAATCTTGGGCGACTACTTACAGCCAGTACCGGCAGAAATTCAGACCGACGACACGGAGTTTCTTCATCTAACCGAAGAAGACGTTAATCGACGGTGAGCGGTCAACTTTTCATTATTTTCAGCCATAAAAAACTTAGCACCTGCCATTGGTGTGTAAATGGTCACACTGGAGGAGACCGAGAAAGCAACGTCATACCTACTTTTCTTTCAGGTTGGAGGAAGTAAAGTCCTCAATGAGAACGAACATACCGGTGGAGCAACGGATAGAGATGGCTCGGAAACAGCAGGCCGCTAGAGCCGCTGCGAGGATAGATCGAGAGCAGGCGAGGATAACGAAGGAGATTGAACGGTCGGAGAGGCAGGAACAGGCGAAGAGGGAACGCGAGGCAAGGTCTCAGCAGATGCTGGAGGTGAGAGGATAAGTTTCTAGAAAGGATTTCCATGTTGTTTTGGTATAATTTTGGGTTTTCCTTTGTGCAATGGTCTAATATATATGTGACTCTAATAAAGAAAGAACGGAACAAGTGATTTCGGGCTAGGAACTATCGATCACGACAAAAATACTTTCAATTTGGTTGAACATCAGGGCGTCAGAGATGTACAAAAGGGGACCAATGAAGACCAAAGTCGATTTCTTTTAACTGGCAATCAGAAAGATAGTTTCCTATTTGGAAGAGATATTTCGTAAAGTCAGAACATTATCCAAATCATTGTGATTCTCTAATGCTATATGGAAGCATCTAAACATCATAAAACATCATTTTGAATGATATTTTTTAATGTTGAAAGGATTAATAATGACATTTCAAACGAGGTACGAATCCCTGTTTAAGATTAAGGATTGATTCGTTTTCTTTGATTTAACCTGTATTTAAATTTTTCATTCTTCTTACAAGTAAAGTGCAATGAAATGCAAGTTTCATTTGGCCTTGCTTTGCCTCAAGTAATCATTTGATGCTTAAGAAAATCTAATGACTTAATTGAAATTACAGTATCAATGTGCGAACCACTATATTTTCCATAGAAATGATAGTAATCTTTGTCTGGAATCACATTGTTCGATTCTGGTTCAACATTACCATTTTATGTTAAATAATGTTGTTATCATTAACTTGAAGCAATTACGCAGAACGCTGTTAAAGTCTAGGCGCATGCAGTTTTCATCAAATTTTCAAAATTTTCTTTCCCGTTTCATATCTCACGGCACCCATTTTTGCAAAAGATATGAGAAAATGGTTCGTCCGAGAGATAAAAATGGTTGGGTTCCTTTTTTTATGTTATGTTTGCATGGCAGGCTAAAAGGAAGCGGCAGGAAGAAATAGAAAGGCACAAGCAGGAAGAGCATCATCGAAAACAGCAGGTAGGAAGCGCTGAATGCTTTTTTGTTTCTGTTAATTTTTTATATTATTTGTGGTGCATGGAACCTCAAAGTTTCTTTGTTAGTTTTGTGACGATAGTATGTCATTTTGTACTTTATTCCTTTCAGGAGAGAGAGCTGAAAAGACAACAAGCCGCCATGTTGAAAGAACAAGTAAGTTTTTCATTATAAACATTATTATCGGACGTGAAAATAATAAAATCAATTCGGGGTGAGATGATGGGGCGACATTTTCTAGTCTGGCAGACTTACTTGAAAGGAAATTGATATCCTCACTTTTCTTCAGCACGTTCTTTTTCAAATGTCTTCGATACTTTCTCCTAGACAAAAAATTTTATTATGGAAAATTTTACTTCTTCCAAATGCCATCTTGCAAAAATATATTTAGAAATATATTCATATATATTCCACATCATATTTTTTCCACATCAAGTTTATTACGCAGAATATTTTTTTTGATGTCAATTAAGTTGACTCGTACAACTATAAAAATATATTGGTGTTTCCTATAAACAAACTACTTCATCACATCAATTTGATGAAACTAAAAAAAATGTTTGGCTTTCTACTACTACTCCATCTTGATACAAAAAAAAGGAGGAGGGAATCTTCCAAAGAAAGGAAGTAATCAATATATGACATAAGCAGATCAAGCTTATTCCGTGACATTAAAAATCGTAATTCATAAATGAATTGTGTGTATTTTCTATAATGTTATCCAATTTGGTACTGAAGAGCCTTGGGGCAAGTGTCTTGAGGCGAAACATCGATGTATACCAGTGAGGATGATATTGTTCCGTGTAAGTGCAATTTGTTACCATTCATTTAAAGTAGAACTCATGTGAATGATATCTGATTTTTATTCCACAACGAATGTTTGAAATACAAACTGAGTAGAGAAAAGTGTCTTCTGTATAATTCAGTGTTCATATAGAAGTGTTTGTTTCGAAAGATTTTTTTTCTTTCGTGTAATTCAATGTTTATATGAAAGTAGCTGTTTCAGGAGGACTTTCTTTCAGTTTGTGTCTGAAAGTTACTTCTTTGCATGATCTACACATCCATGTATAGATTTACTTATTTTGAAATTGATTACTTCCTTTCTTCGGAAGATTCCCTCATTCTTTTTTTTTTGTATCAAGGTGGAGTAGTATTAGAAAGCCAAAAACTTTCTTTCCCAAAAATTAATCACTCCTAAAAATATAACCCCTTCAATTTGAAAAAAAATCTTGATGTGTTTTTTCCCGGACCTTTAAAAAAGTTAAAGTTTATAGTCTCGTGGTTATTTTGATTTCTATATCCTCAAAACATCGACAGGGGCAGTTGTCTATTTCCATATCATTGTTTTTTTTTTTTCTATAATCGACCCTGTTATTGTTGACTCAAAAAATGGCTCATCTTTACTGACTCAAGTGTTCTTCTTGTTTTGGAATAGCCAAATTATTAAGTGAATTAATGAATGATGATTTAAATATCTTGAAGTAAATTTTAATTCGGATTAGACTGGATATGGATTTTTGAGGGACACAGGGTTGTTGAGAAGATGAACCAAATTTCGGATATATGAACTTTACTATGTTGATTAATTTTGTTGCTTTTGTGTTTTCGTTTTGTAAATAATGTGACGATGCGTGTTTTTCTCCTTAGATGTACATACAGGAGATCAGTAAACAACGAGAGATGCTTTACACCGTCGAGCTGGTATGAGTCATATTTCCGTATGAATGTGTATGAGAGAGGGGTGTTGGTATCTAGTGAGCCGTCAAAATGTCCATTTGGCAGAAATTTTACTATTTTCACAAAGTGACGAAAAGTTAATGAAAGAGCAATAGTTGTTTGATTCGTTTCACTATCCTAAAGAAATATTTTTGTCAATTATGTTTCAGCAAAAAAAAAATTGCAAGTTTGTTTCTGAGTAACATGAGAAACATTTAACCACATACATTATCAAGTATCCGATGAATTTGTCCTTTTGATTCAACGTTCACCATGATGGGGTTAGTGGTTGAATATGCACGTAGATCCTTTGTAGCTAATTTATTCATATGTTCGAAAATTGTTTAACCCCTTGCAAAGAATTCATCATATTTCCTCTCACCCTGAACACAATTGTGTGCCACTTGGTAGGATTTGGTGAACGTTTTTTACGATCATATAATGAGAGAGCAGCTTGGATTATTAATTATCTGAGAAGACAAAGATTGAATTACTCTGATCAACAATCGCGGAAAACTTTCTGTGATAACAAGTCAATTGATCACTCTTTCTATTCAGTGGACATACATTCTAAAAGTTACAAGAGTTCAAACGCAAAGTAACTAACTGGCTCAACATTTACCAACGCCTCTTTGTGAGTATACGTTGAATTCCTAGACCGAAACTTGAAATTTTTCTTTGAAATGCTTGTTTATCAAAAATGTTCTTGGAATTCGCAGTGTACTGCACTCGTATGCTAAAACGGTGAGATGTTCTTTGTTCCTAACGCTAATATCGTTTTGTTGCCGATTAATAATTGATTTCTTTACAGTAACTCTTTTTCGGAATGGCTTTTCGATACTGAAACACGCAGAGATATCACAAAAACTTCAAGAATATTGAACATGTAATATAAATTCAACTGTCACTTATACAATTCGTAGAGCTTTCTGTGAAACTTCTTTGCGATATCTCTGATTCATTAATTTCCTTCGACTTTGGGCGCAGCGGTCTGGCTAAGGGTGCTTCACTAATTTTAAATGTTCGTTCTAACCAATCAAGAGGGCGCTTTGTTTCTCGTACCATCATGAATCGCTTTCCAACCATAATTCCCTTTATAGGAGCGCGAGCGCAGACGGCAGCACATGGCGCTGGTGAAGTCCCTAGAGAGCAGACGCAAGCTTGAGGAGCGCGAGCGCAAAAAGCAGCAGCTGCTCGCCGAGAAACAGGCGAACAAAGAAAAGAAACTCGAGCAACGGCGCGTGGAAATGGAGATACTCGCCGAGATCAGGAAACCGTGCGAAGACCTGGAGCTCGACCCGACCCCGTTGCCCGAGTACGAGCGAATACCAGGCTTGAAACTCTCCGGCAAGGCCTTTTCCGACGTGATAATGGTGTTTGAGTTCTTGCACAACTTCGGCGAGACCCTGGGGTTCGATATGGAGTCGCTGCCGACGCTGGGGTCCTTACAGCACGCGTTGATGCCTAACGAACACTCGGCCGAGTCGGAAGACGAACTGTTTTCTGTCATGACACATCTGCTCGTCTGCGCGATCGAAGACCCGGGCATTCCGAACCCGGCGCGGTATACCACCATGCTCGGCCAGAGCCTACGCCAAGCTGACATCACGCCGACCAATATATCCGAGATTCTGCGCATTTACTTCTACGCGAATGCAACGGCCGAGGTGAAGGCGCTCACCGGCATCCACTTTGAACGGGACCGCGAGAAGCGCATCGCCGATCATCATCAGACACCCGAGGAGATGGCCATCACGCAGTCGGGCAAGAATGCGCAGTACTACGACGTGCTTCACTCAACTGCAACGTACAAGCTATCCGACTTACTGAAGCATAAGCCGTTCATGGCTCTGTCGCCGACGAGCAAAGCGGAGATACTCGCATACTTGTGCAACGAACTGCTGCAGAACAAGGCCGTCATCAGACAGATCGAGAGTTCTCTGGAGTGCGTAGCGCAGCAGAAAAAGGAGAAGTGGCTGCTGGATATGAAGATACGGAAGTGAGTGTTTGACGCGAGGGATAATGACGTTTGTAACGCTCGATGTTTTGGTTTCAGGTTGAAGATGTTGCACAATAGGAAAGTGAGGACCGAGGCGATGGAGAAAGCCCAGATCAAAATTGACGGCGAAGATTCGACTACGGATTCTCCTTCGTTACATAAGGACGATCTTCTGGACGAGGAGGAGAACGAGATGAGCGAGAACGAAAGTGTGGGTACACAACCTGAAGAGGTTAGTAAAGTTGTTTTTTTTTTGAACGTGGAAAATCCGAAATTTCATTGCTGGGTATGAACTTTTGATGCCTCTAGTGTTACATAATTTTAAAACACACGCTGCTTTCAAACACCAGAACTGTAAAGTACAGTTAACTACAGTTATAAAAATTTCATTTGTATTTCAAGGAGGAAGACAACAAACTAACTGGCGAAGAGCTCGGCAAGAAGCTGGAAAAACTCGTAAAAACCTCAGAAACGCACCTCCAGACCCTTAACACTGCCTCGCTACAACTGCGCGCCATCTGTTTCGGCCAGGACAGGTTCTTCCGTAGGTACTGGTCCTTACCTAAAGCGGGAGGAGTCTTCGTCGAGGGCATGGAGAGCGCCGATCCCGAAGAGACCGAAGAGCAGCGACGTCTCGACAATTTCGAACTCTCGAAGAACGGCATCCGCTGCCTGAACGACATCGACAGCATCAGAGAGAGGATCGAGGAGATCAACGACACCAACGTCGACAAGGAGGTCAGCAGTATCGTCTGCAAGAGCGAGACAGAAAGCGAAAGCGAACACAGGAAAACTCCCAACAGATTAGGAGGCGTGGTGTTTGAGAACGGCGAGGTACTAGACCGGAACGAGCAGAATCTCGCGGAACTGAAGCGGAGCGTCGACGATATCGTCCAAAATCTCGAGAGGAATCTGGAGAAGGAGAAGAAGTTGAAAGAATCTCAGGAGGCCGGCTTGTCTAATCACGTCACGGTCAAGAAGGAGGAGGATAAAGAGCCGTTCGGCAGCAGGAAGTTTAATCTGTTTGAAAGGCTCGGGCAGTGCATGGAGCGCGAGAATAAGTCTGAGGAAGATTTGAAGGCCGAAGTTAAGGCCGAGGTGAAGGTGAGTTATTTGAATTCAAAAGCGGGGATAAATTCAATCTTGATTCAACTTTTCAACACATGATTTGTTGAAACGAATGTTTTTATTTTTGAAAAATTTTAGTTGTTATTTAAAACATATCATCATCCTACCAACTGCGCCAGTTTTATTTGAATACGTTGTTGGATGCAAAGTTTCATCAAATTCATGGTATGAAAACTACAAGCTTAGATTTCCTAAAGTGGTAACGCAGCGTCGGTCATAGACCAAACTTGGCCATATGTATCTCGCATTTCACCGAACTTTTTTTCCTTTCAAGGAGGAACTCAAGAACGAAATACTCAACGAACTCAAGTCCGAGATAAAAGCCGAACTAAAACCGGAACCGAAGTCGGAGGCGGAAGACGAATGCGAGCACAAGTGGTTCAGCATACTGAACAGCGACGGAGCCTCGTGCGACGGTATCCACCTAACGGCGGGCAACAAATGGGAGAACGGTGGCGTCGGCGCGTGTATGCGCGACATAACCGAGCTGAAGATTCCCGTATTCCCACCGCCCGGCGCGAATCCGTCCGCCCTGGGCGGTGCCCTAGGGACGGGGTATCATCATCACCACGGTACGTGCGACAGTCCCGCGCCACTGCAGATGACTGCGGAGGAGAGCGCGCAGCTCGAGCACATCAAGAAGCACGGCATGCCGAGACCGAGCGAGAAAAAAGCCGTACCGGCGGATAAGAGGTACGGATGGTGGAGGATCTCGGACACGAACCAGCTGCGAGAGGTGAGTCAAATTTAATATATATAAATTACGTGTCATGTTGTTTGTCCGCGATGAACTCCTAAACTTCTTAACCGATTTTAATCAAATTTGCACACCGTTTGCAGTTTGTTCCAACTTGAAAGATAGGACAGCTTACATCTTAATTTATAGTCGCAATATTATTTTATTGCAAATTATTTGTCTATTATTTGGCATTCACAATTATCTGTTAACTCCAAACGATTTTAACAGATGGCGATATCTGTTGACTGGATTGAGTGAGTAATCAATAGATGGCGCTGCTATGTTGAACTCACAAATGTGTCATACAAGCTACAATTCAATAGCATAACCATCACGTGTTGTTGAGGCTAAAGTATAAGTTAAATTTATTTTATAGTAAACGAATTAACGTGAAATTCAATTGGTATACCTGTAATGTCACCACATAATCTTCGATTAAAGATTGGTTCCTCTATTGTTCTCCTTAGTAATTTGAATACGCCTCAATTATGCAACGGTACGCGTTTGATCATCAAAGAAATCACAGGAAATATTCTTGAAGCAACCATTTTAACTGGGAAGTTTAAAGGAAAAGTTGTCCCGTTGCCACGTATTCCAATGATACCATCAGATTCTACTATATCCTTCAGAAGGCTACAATTTCCAATTCGTTTAGCTTTTGCCTTGTCTATAAATAAGTCTCTAATCAATCGGGTTCAAAGTCCTTCCTCTGCAAACCCCAATCCAGTGGATTTTTACCAGCCATAGCATCAAAGTTTGGCCGGCAAATCCTCATGCTACACATGGTCAAAGGCCTTAGAAATATCAATCACAAGAGTTTCCGACTCTCCATGTTTCTCAAATAAATGTTATTTCATGGTTGCCCCTAGATACAAAGATCTTGAGTATCAATGTGAGTGGACTGTATTTCTCGTGACATGAATTTGAATTATCGTCCTTTTACGTGCTTTTTTGGTAAATAGATGGTCTAGATCTGGGGAAAGCAAATATTTTTATTTGACGCAACTGTGGTTACCTCGATAACTTCATTGACTGATCCCTTCGGTCACTCTCCCGACCATTTTTGACAGTATATCGTATAAGGGGAGTGTTCGATATAGTCACAAATAGAGGCGACCACAGTTATACCGAAGTCTGAGCATTGAAGATGATTACGATAGAAAATACTTTCGGAAAACACCAGGGTAAGAAAAATAATAATAATAATGATAATAAAGATTTATTTTCCCAAGAAGTGTACATGTTTATAGTAAGTAAAAACAACATATTCAACACTATAACATAACTAAGTACGAACGGAGCAACAGAAAACATATAAATCAGAACGGAAACTTAAATAAAATTACAAATATTATTAATCTGAGATGTTGATTGCTAGGTACATGGGATGCACATTGATGACGGATTGTATAGACAAAGACAGCATAATTTTAATTGTCGATATTGATGACAGGTAGTCAAAATGTTGAAAGACTTGCAATATTTTATTTATCGACGTCGCCAACTATATGGTGGAAAATCAAAATTCAGAAACTGCCATCAAATTTTTAAATCTTGTACACGAAAACAAATGTTCTGATGAAGTGTTTTTATTTCAGTAATCATATGATTTTAAGGATTACATTACAACATAATAATACTTTAATTCCAATAAAACATTTTTTACGTAGTACTGGAAAAGTCAGATCATGAATATCAATAAAATATAATACAGAATAGTTGTTGGTAACCAGTAGATAAATTTTAAGTGTGTGTAGTAGATCACCTATGCCGGTTCTGTGACACAGCCAACGTCTTCGATCGTTTTTCGTGCGTCTTCGATCGTTTTCGAACGTTATACCTTGCTTCTGTTAGCTGAATTCGCTGTGTCACAGAACCGACACAGGTGATCTACTATGTATAACTTCAAAAAAGTTATTATGTAACATTAAAGACTGCACAGAATCCAGTTTTATCTAGAATCAGTGCTCATCCACATAGTGTTTGCCCTCAAACTGGAATAAGATTAGTTTCAACAAAAAGCGCCGATTGTTGATTACTAAAATGACAAATGTCTCTTGTATTAAGTTTTGGCCTTCACTCTTCGTTCCAACCATTTATTTTATTTCATTTTCTTTGCCGTGAAAAAGAATGGAATGAGTCGACTATTTTGAGCACTTCACGTTATTGGTAATATAACGTTAAGGAGGAATTGAAACGATTGAATATTTTTCAGCAGTTTGCCAAATACTATGAAGACCGAAATTAGTTTTGTATGTTCCATTGTACTTGTAACTACCCCTCAAACAAATGACAAATGATCATTATATAACTAAGTCCAAGTCATACTCTTACAGAAAACTGCTAAATCCTACTGTTTTCCAAGGTGGAGAAATCGGTTGTAATTGTCTATTATACCTATTACTTATTCTTACTTTACTTATTCTATTATACTATATTACTTTACTTCCTGATTAATGTTAATACGAAATATTTCAACAGCTAATAGTTTTATCAACAAGATTTGGATGAATTGCCCTTTTCAGAGGAATCCAATTCTTTCTTTCGCTTGAGAATATCTAATTTCATAATCTCTATTTCTAACTCCTTTCTTTTTCTGTCTAGTTCGAATAATATTCCTTTACGAACAGCTTCTTTTTGAAGTTCTTGGTGAGTGGCCCTTATCAGATTCAGATTGGCGATTTTCAGCTGCCTTCTGAGGACTACTTCCATAGTAGGTGAAGCAATTTTGCCTGTTCTGTTCTTCTCCTCCAACTGCAAACATTCTGTACCTTCTTTAAACGTAGCCTGTGCTTCCGGATCTGTTTCTGGAGTATGATCTGAGGAATGTTGAGGTCTACTTTCTAAAATGACGTATAATCTGTGGTTAATGAGAAAAGTAAATAAAGAAAGAAAAAGGTACTTACCATTATCGATACACTGACGGTCAGTTGAGTTTGGAGCATCTTTTTTTAAATTCTCCCAGAGGCCCTTCAAATGAAAAATATATCTGCGGTGATAGGAACTCCTCAAATTAAATTCGCGGCACAAATCTATCCATGCATCCAGTTTTTTATAATTGCTCACTTCATCTGTTTTCTTACACTCAATATCACTTGAGTATTTCTGTAACAACTCCTTGAATATAGATATTTCAATCCACGTGAAATATGGAACACTTGTACGTTCTGATCTCGGACATCTGACAGCATTCAAATTAGCTGCCATCTCTCTTGAATTTCAATCTCACTCTTTCTAGTCACCACCTTCAGCAACACAATCTCTGATGTGTCTGGTAATGGAACAAGAAACTTGTGTTAAAAGTTACCTGAGAACTTCTTCTTCTTCTTCACATTTTCTGGGCTCAGTTACAAGGATGTTCGGCCAGTGACAGCCTCTTCTTCAAGTATAGTCGAAGTAACCGGTATTGTGAATAGTTAAAGCTATCGGCGAGCTCAAAGGCCAAAAAAAACCAATACAAAGAAATGATGCCGCTGCGATATAGTCCATGTGGACTGAAGAATTGGCGGTTCGTATTGGATACATTTTACTAACAGAGTTTTATGATTGGCTGAAGAGTCATAAAATTAAATTTGAAGTCATATTTCGATGACGAATAGATCTCGAGGATGTTTATACACTTCGTGTTGTCAATGTTCAATTCAGGAACTGATCGCGATTTGAGTGTTGAAATTCGATATTGGTGCGGTTATAATTACTTAAAATGTTTGTTATCTGTTTAAAATGTGGCGTCCTTGGACAAGTACTAATAGTAATAACGATTGTGATAACAACGCAGACTTTTTCCTGTCTAGTGATTCCAATAGCGATGGTGAACAATGTGAAAAAGTGATACCAGTGAATAAGATTCGAATGCATTTGAATATTGAAACACAGAAAGTGTTTCACTGTATATAAGAATCTACATCTCAAGTTTTTTTTTTTTTTTTTAATATACTTTATTGTCTGAAGAATAAATTCTTATTGACAAAGCCTTGTGCGAAATATAAATAACATATACATGAAATCACAAAAGTAAAATCACTAAAAGTAGGTTATAACATGAACTGAAAAGAGACATGTAAATAATAACAAACGTTCAGGATATAAGAACATGGTCAACAAAATGTAAATAAATCAATTTAAACTAAATTGAATGAAATGAAATCAATAAAATACCGTAGATATTACAGTTAGTCTTCTCAATTAAAATTATCATCATAGAATTCTGCTGAGCTATAATAAGGTCTCCCAGAGAGCAAGTCTTTCAACTCTTTCTTAAGAGCTCTAAGGTCATTTATGGTTCTTATAACTTGAGGAAGGTGATTGAACATTTTAAGACCGTTGTAAATAATGGAATCTTTAAATAGCGACGAAGAAGGCAGCGGTAATTTAAAGCTGAATCTTTGCCTGGTTTGATACATTGGCGCGTCCAAGTTGTTAAACAACTTGGTTTCGAGGGAAACAAACTACTACAAGCAACATCAGGTTTGACCGAGATTCCTTTCTCAACTGTACGTAAAATGATCAAAAATGAACCTTATGAACACAAAACGCGATGTGATACGGAATTAACAAAACCTTCAGATGTTCATCTAATAAAATCATTAAAAAAAACAATATACGACTGTTACAAAAGCAATGAGATTCCTACAACTGAAATCATAAGAAAGAAATTGAATACTACTGGCCATAACGTGAGCTGCTGTGACAAAACTCTTCAGAATTGGATAAAGAAACTAGGATTTAAATTTAAAATAATGAACAAACGTCAAACAGTTATGAAAAACAGAAGAATAGCGGAATTGCGTAACAAATACTTGGAACAAATAACTAAATATAGACTAAAACAACGGCGAATTTTCTATTTGGACGAAATTTGGTGTAACACTCACGACACAGTTACGAAAGGGTGGACTGATGGTTCGAGAATGTGTACGCCTAACATGCCTGCGAACAAAGGATCGCGACTAATCATTGTGCATTGCGGAGGAAGTAAGGATGGGTTCCGAATTCTTTGAAATTATGTGGAAAAAAAATTGAGGACTGCAATGTTGACTATCATAAGAACATTGAAGCTAATATTTTCGAGGTTTGAAAACACATTGATCCCGAATTTGGTCGATGACAATAGTGTAATAGTTCTTGACAACGCTTCCTATCATTCTCGACAGCTCATCAAAGTACCGAGTAAAAATTCGAGGAAAGATGAAATACAAAGTTTGTTAATGGATAACAATTTGTATTTTAAGACTTCCTATGTTTCTATACTACTGCAGTAACTAACGTTACTGCAGTTTTGTACTATAAGAACATTTACAAACGAATACAAAAAATTGATTTTTCTCATGGTACCATAAAATTTACAAACTAAGCGAGCTTAAGGTCTCCGCCAGTCTTAATACCATAGAGAAAGTACGTCATAAGCGATCTCAATGAATGTATGAACAATTTTTTTTATAAACGATAGTTCAGTGTCTTTAAAAATGTGTTTATGGAGAATGAGTCGCACCATTTTGTCTCAAGTATCATCTCTTAGGATCAAAACAGGTCAGATATGTAAATGAGTTCAATTGTAACAGACAAGAGAATAGAAGATTTCATTGAGGTCACCCTAAAATACAGACAATACATATTTGTGACAGAATTAAAAATAATTATCAACAGTTAATTGGCAATGACACTTTTTTATACAAACTTTCAGCTTGATGGTATACATGCAGTTATAAATCGGTGGAAATCTTGTTGAAAGTATGTTTATGGCATAATTTTCATATATTCAATACATATTAATAGAATATTTGTTGACATATGTTTTAAATATCATAAAATTAAATAATATAATATAAATAATCATGAAACTATAATTCAGTGTTCAAAGAAAGATCTTATGCAATGTTTATATTCATTGATCCGGCCCGAAGGACCACATGAGTCTTTAGAAAACATAGTTTCGTTTATCCGTGTACAATAATGTCGTTGTAGTCCGGTATAAAAATATTATTTTCATTATTTTTCAAAAGGAATCGCCCACAAAGTGATCGTAACTCTGAAAAAATTGTCCTTAGGTGCTCGACAATCTGCAAATGAGAGGCGTGAGGGAGCGCGAACTGAAACGCAGCCTCGTCAGCGTAATGCAAACGGTATACGAGAGGAAAGGCAGGTTGTTCATTGAAGAGGGCGCCAGCGAGCTGACGAACTTGAAGAACGAGCAGACTGACGAGGTTACATACGTCGACGGCCACGCTCCCACTCCGGACGAGCCCGGCGCGTGGAGTGTGACGCTCGCACGGAAAGTCGACATGTTTTTGCTCGAGCAGGTCAGTATGAAGGGGGTTATGTTAGGTTAGAAACGTCTGTTTCAGTAAATCCTACTTTGGAGGGATTTCTGCGGAGGGCGACTACGTACTTGGCAAATAGCGCGACGGATATTCGATATATGAAGTCCAGGGAGAAAGAGATCATCTCCGAAATTTGAAAACTTGTCAGTTATGACTGTCTTAGACTCATTTTGTATCATTTTTGTTTTTATTACAGGTGGAGGCTCTGGAAGATAAAGTGGCCAGTGCCAGTATGCAGGTGAAGGGTTGGAAAATCCCCGGCAGAGACTTGGGCGAGATTCCTTATCGGCAAATTGTACATATAGTCAAGAATAGATTGGCGTCGCTTGAACTGAACATCGAGAGGAGGTATTTGAAGCCACCGTTGGGCGTCAAGTGAGTGAAATGTTTGTCAGTTCGAATAAAAATAAGCATGAATATATAATTCAATGTTCAAGGAAAAGTCTTATGCAATAATAATATTCATTGATCCGGCCCGAAGGACCACATGCGTTTTTTTAGAAATTATCGTTTCGTTTAGCAAGCAACAGATGAGGACATTGGCACTTCTATACATTCTTTCTTTTATAATCTTCTCCATTTTCATTGACCAATAAAAAAGAAATTCAGTCTCGGTAAATACGTTATTTTTCTAATATTGTTTATAACATGACCCTTCATGAAAAATTTAATTTTTTCATGTCAAATTGTCGTTGATTTATAATATTTTTTGTCGATATCTGCTTCATCAAATTTGAAAATATAATTCGACAAATTTCGATCGATTTTTTTTTCAATAATCTACCAGATGATGGGATATGTCTGCATTATAATAATTTTTACATCTCTTTCAGTACCGGTGACCCCAACCTAGCCGCCATGTCTCATGACGGAGCGTCGGGAAGCCTCGGTGGCGGCAGCACTTCGACGCCGAGCTTGGGCGGCTCGACGCCCGGTCAGGCGTCCGCCTGCGGCTCGGAAGACATCCCGAAAGGATTGAGTGTGTGGCGCGAGGCCATCAACAGGTGTGCGACGTCCGCCCAGGTTGCGATGTGCCTCTACTCGCTCGAGGCGTCCATCGCCTGGGACAAGAGCATCATGAAAGCTGTGAGCTCTCCAAATGTCTTTAATGCCCGCAAATATAACAGCAATCTGAGTGTGGGTGGCGCTTGTTGCTTTTTTCTTTTTAATATTCACATGTATATTTGTACTTTCTTTCGTATCCGCTCGAGATGGAGACGTTCCTCTCGTGTTTTTTACTTAGACGGGACAGAGGATTTGTTATTGAATCGTGTTTTTCATGAGTAACTCAATGAATGTACAGGGTGTTACAGTCTTTAGGTCCCACTTTTACTTTTGGTGATTTCAGCATTTTGGGGTGAAAAAGTAGTCAGAAAGTGATAATATATATGCTGCATATTGAAATAAATGATAATAATGAATATTCTCATGCAATACATAAATGTAAGTATAAGAATATAAAAACTATAAAGCATAAAAATATAAAAGTGAATGGATAGAAAATAACAGTAAGAATCAACTTCGCTTGAGCTATTCGCGGGCAGATGGCGCTATACGTAACCTCCTTGATAGATTGTTCAAAAGAAAATCAAAATAAAAAACATATTTTAAGAATTATAGGTGTTAGCGAAATTTTGTACTACAGATGAAATATTTAAATATTGAAGTCGCCTAATTCGCATCAACAGAAGCTAATTTCATGAATCACATGCTACTTATCTGAAAAGTTGTGTTCCGCATTTATAGTTGAAATTTGTGGTGTGAAAAAATTAGAAATAGCCACAGATGGAAAATGAAAGCAAGCTTCTTATGTTAAGTCTTAGGTAACATTCAATATAATTAAAAAAAATTCATCGAGGAAGTTTTGGAGCGTGTTTTCACTAGTAAGAAACATATCAACATATTTCCTGTTGGTGAATACGATTATTTTGTGAAAATACAGGCCCACTTGAGGAACAATCGCAAAAGTTCAATAATTTCCAACTCAGCTGAATGAGTTGATTGATGTTTGGGGGTTTTTTGGACTAGCTGGACTTGCTAGCAAGAGACATGACATTTTTTGGAAAGAAAGTTTTTGGCTTTCTGCTACTCTATCTTGATACAAAAAAAAAGATGAGGGAATCTTCTAAAGAAAGGGAGGAAGTAATCAATTTGAAAATAAGTAACTCTATACATGGATGTGTAGATCATGCAAAGAAGTACCTTTCAGACACAAACTGAAAGAAAGTCCTCCTGAAACAGCTACTTTCATATAAACATTGAATTACACGGAAGAAAAAAATTCTTTCGATACAAATACTTCTATATGAACACTGGAATTATACAGAAGATACTTTTCTCTACTCAGTTTTTATTTCAAATATTCGTTGTGGAATGAAAATCAGATATCATTCATATGAGTTCTACTTTAAATGAATGGTAACAAATTGCACTTACATGGAACACTGTCATCCTCACTGGTATACATCGCCTTAAGACACTTGTCCTAAGGTTCTTCAGTACCAAATTGGATAACATTATAGAAAATAAACACATTTCATTCATGAATTACGATTTTTTATATATATAATACAAGGAACATTATGATTATACGACCGCGAACACCCTGTATACTAACACAATGGGGAATGTTCCTCTTGACGAAAATCAAGTAGTTTTCATAAAAGAGCTCTAAAACAACGCATTTTAAACTTATCATTTCAACCTTTTTCTTTGAAAAATTATTTAAATACCCAAAAAAGAGGATTGAAATAATGCATTCAACATTTAAAGGGATTCATTTCTATTTCACCATTTGGCAACATCGGTTATAGCTAATAAAGGACAATGAATTTATTACCTGTATGAGGCAAACAAAGATGACCTAATTCAGAGGCGTGCTGTTCTGTTTACTCATGTTCCGAGCTCCGAGACATTCTGTGACATGACATTTTGTGCACCTAACCTATCTTCCTCTATATGAATAAATAACAAAACAACTGTTGTTTATGTGGCTTGAGGAGGTGGTATTGAACTATAATTTAATTGTTGATTTATAAAGATAATTTTCCTTTTTTAAAGTAGAATACCTAGGCGCTGTTGCCAATATGTGAATTAGAAACAAATCCCTTTAAAAATTAAAACCCAACATTTGAAACATCAATTTGAATACTTTTCAAAGTTAATTCGAAAAACTCATGAATTAAACTCAACTTTATTTTGTTCAAACTTGCATTTGCTGTAATAACCCAAATTGAGGAACATTTCCCATTCAGCGCATATTCATTTTTCTTTTATTCCACTTTGTCCAGTCTGGTGTCGATGGAAATGTGAATAGTTACGGCTTCGAACATTTTTTTGTTGAAGAAAAAGTTACTAAATAAAAACCGTTAAACAACATACAAAAATAATCATATTGGTAATTCGTACTTTCGAACCCACAAAAAATCTTACTTTCGATGCTAAATTTGAAATTCAAATGACTATTGGAAGTTGACCTAAAAATAGTCGTACGTAGTACAGACTCTGTTGAAAATTATTCAATTATGTTCAATTTTACCCTGTCAAAATCTTTTAGATTGAATTCTGAATTTTTGTGTTCAAGTTATTCTGAAAAATGTCAGAGTTAGGCTGAATTTCGTATATTTTTGAGGTCTTGAAAAAATAAGGTTGACTTTCATTTTTCTCAAAAAATATCCATTAATTTTTTTTTGTCCTCTTCGAAGGGGACTTTAGTAAGCAGATTTTTCAAAAAGTTCATAGTTTTAGCCAAATAGTCATTAGATTTTCCCAAAATGTCACTACATTTGCCTAATACGTCACTAGATTTGATCAAAAAGTCACTAGGTTAGCCTAAAAAGTCACTATATTTCCTCAAACGGAAACTAAATTACCCCAAAAAGGCACGTCCCACGCTGACGTCATTGCCTCCTATAAAAATATATTTGGGATGCCCGTATTCTCACTATATGAATTTGGGAGAAAATCTAATGATATTTTGGGGGATCTAGTTACCTATTTAGGTAATCTAGTAATTTTTTGGGGGAAACTGGGGACTTCAGAAAATTCTATTGACTTTTCAGACAAATCTCCTGTGACCAAATCTGGGAAATCTAGTGACAAAAATAACAAGCTGAATTTTTTATGGGTAAATAGTCATTTGGGTACCCGAACTCTCATAGTATATCTACTAAACATATTTACGGGGATAATAAACATTAAAGTGAGAAAGGTTTGAGGATTGTCTTCGTCTTGAGTGGATCACGTTGTACATACGTATCGATACTTTGGATGCAGTCCGTTGAGAGCACAAGAACAGTAATGAAGTAGTATTAACGAAGCCTTTGGCGATAATCATTCTAGATGAACATCCTTTCTTTGTCTTGGCAATAACCTCAACTAACGCAGACTGTACATATACTAACTCATAAGCTAATCGATCTCTTGTTATTTTTTCCCTAATAATTCTCTGTCAGACTTCTCGCAATTTTTTTTTGTTGATTACTTTCCAGAACTGCCAGTTCTGCCACAGTGGAGACAACGAAGACAAGCTGCTGCTTTGCGACGGCTGCGATAAGGGTTACCACACGTACTGCTTCAAGCCGAAAATGGACAATATTCCGGACGGCGATTGGTGAGTGGAATTTTTGTGCATATACATAGATTTTTGACAGATCAGTATGAATCGTATCGACAAAGCGCGTGTGTGAATAACATAAAATTGTATACAGGCATATACTAAGTCCAGATAATTTAAAACCTATAAAAATATCTATACATACAAATAGGCACACATATACATATACATACATAAAACAGACGTTTTCCACAATAAAGAAAATGTCCACATGTGTAATAATGTGATAATGAGACACAGGAACATAAAAATGAAGAGAAAAATTACACAAAACATAAAAATGGTGTAAGTTATTGCTGATGCTAGATTTTTATTTATTATACGATACGATTAAATATTTATTGAGATATGAAGCTACAAAAACATATGACATTAAAACGGAAAAACTTTTGAAACGATCTACTAAAAGTGAAAAAAAAATAATTCCATCCCTTCATACCTGGACAATTTATCCGATTTTGAAACGAAAGTAAATAAAATTGTAAATAGGCAAATCAAATTTGGATATAGTTCTCAAAGGGATTTCAATTACTGCAATTCTCAAAAACGACTTTAATTATTGCAATTCTTAAAAACGATTTTATTTACTGAAATTTTCAAGAACGATTTTGATTTTCTTGATTTTTCTCCTGACGAAAATCAAGTAGTTTTCATAAAAGAGCTCTAAAACAACGCATTTTAAACTTATTATTTAAACCTTTTTCTTCAAAAAAAATTTTTAAATACTTGAAAAAGAGGAATGCATTCAACATTTAAAGGGATTCTTTTCTATTTCACCATTTGGCAACATCGGTTATAGCTGATAAAGGACAATGAATCTGTTACCTGTATGAGACAAACAAAGATGACCTATTTCAGAGGAGTGCTGTTCTGTTTACTCATGTTCCGAGCTCCGAGTCATTCTGTGACATGACATTTTGTGCACCTAACCTATCTTCCTCTATATGAATAAATAACAAAACAACTGTTGTTTATGTGGCTTGTGGAGGTGGTATTGAACTATAATTTATGTTTTGCCTTTATTGTTGATTTATAAAGATAATTTCCTTTTTTTAAAGTAGAATATCTAGCTACGTATACATTATTTTAACATGATATAGGCGCTGTTGCCAATATGTGAATTAGAAACAAAATCCTTTAAAAATTAAAACCCAACAATACAGAGGGACAAGGCAATCTAAAAAGTGTAAATTTCACTGCTAGGCTTTTCGAAATGAAGTAGTTCGTCAAAAAAATTCAAATTTAGAACCTGTTGAAACAGCAGAAGGTGGCGCCCTCTTCTCGCCAATTTGAAAAGTTTTTCAACGCAAAAGGAGTGCCCCAAATAAGAAAGTACCTTGTGTAATACTAGGGAGTTAGTGAGTAGGTAACCGAGAACTTTTTAGCAAGTCTAGTGTTTTTTTATAACAGTAAACGAATATTGAATGATACATCACAGCATAGATGTTATGCCGTGACGAAGTAGCAAGTGCGTGTTTGCCAAACTGTGAAAATGACGTAAATATCCTCCAACAGCAGCACGAATATTTCTGTATGAAATTCGATTTTTGAGAATCTTGAAATATTACCAATTAATAGGCGTATACGAGTCGTGATGTAAATGATTGCCGCTTTCAGGTACTGCCACGAGTGCGTGAACAAGGCGTCTGGCGAGAGGAACTGTATCGTATGTGGCCGCAAGGTGTCCCAGACCGGCACGAAGCTGGTCTTCTGCGAGCTGTGCCCGCGCGCCTACCACACCGACTGCATGCAGCCGCAGTTGCAGAAGGCGCCACGGGGCAAGTGGTACTGCTCTAACTGCATCGCGAAGAAGCCTCACAAGAAGGCGTCGCGCAAAAACAACAAAGCTCCGACGACGACGCCCACGACTACAACTAGGGACAGCGAGTCGTCAGACCTTCCGCCTTCTAGGTGAGTACGCTTCAGCTTTACTATTGAGATGAAAAAATTATCAAAGATATTTGTAATATTCTCTATTTAAAATCTGAGAATTCTGAGTTCATTGATTGGATTTATAATAATAATAATACGTCTTTATTCACCATAAAAATACAAATGGAATAGACGAAAATAAAATAAAACAGTATACAGGAACAATAACAAAAACAAAGAAAAGAACTTCCAGTATATGGTGAATAGGCGGAGTATCAGCCAAGGCTGTTTTTCAACTCAACCTGGGAGAAACTATAAATAAATAATATGAACACAAGTCGAGTTAACAATATCAAAAAATTTTAGTTATTGCTTTACTTTAGAAAATTCATTTTAGAAATGCCAAGGTCGGGAACGGGCAAGAGGCTAATGAGATAAATAAGTCTTCAGTCTTTTTTTAAAGTTTACGATGGTGTATGATCGAAATTCGCAGGGTAGTTGATTATAATATTTGGGT